GCCATCCCTTGGGTTTTGGAACTCAGCTTTTCTTCATATATTGTGCATTATGCAATTAAATAAAATCTAACACTTATTTTACTTCGAACATTCCAACAGCCATATTATTTACACGGGTGTAACTAGTTGCGCCGCTGGGTGTAACTAGTTGCACAACTAATTACACCACGCCTGCCCTGCCTGCCACGCACAAACTATAAACAAATGGTGAGGAGTCGTATTATTATTAACTGTTATTTTGTTAGCTTAAAATTGATAAGATAAGTTTGACTTTCACCTGTTCCACGTTTGCCGATGTGTCTGATAAAGTTCCCTTCTAAGTCGAATACTTGTAGTCTGTGATTCCAAGTGTCCGCTACAATAACTTCCTCACTTTCTGTAGTCGTAATTCCAATCGGCCTGTCAAACTCACCCAGCATTCCTCCTAGAGAGTATTGGTGTTGTAATACTGTCAACTCTACTCACTTACAACACTTAACTACTTATCATATCACTAATCGCTGATACGGTGAGTTACTAACCTTTAGAACCGAAAGAGCTGAGAAAGGAGCCGTCTAGGCGGTGTACGCTGATACGGTGAGTTACTAACCTTTAGAACCGAAAGAGCTGAGAAAGGAGCCGTCTAGGCGGTGTACGCTGATACGGTGATTGTAAGTTACTAACCTTTAGAACCGAAAGAGCTGAGAAAGGAGCCGTCTAGGCGGTGTACGCTGATACGGTGATTGTAAGTGTCTGCTACAAAGATACGATCTCCTCTGCTCGCTACAGCGTTAGGACAGTTTAACTGGCCTGTCAGCCTGGGCACCACATTATTAGTATACTAGTGTTACCCGTAGTATATATAACCAGTGCTACCCGTGCCCCCTTATTGGGGGGGGGGGATCTTAGTAAGCTCGTTTTATTTTCGCAGAGCCACACAAGTGTTACGAGTGTCCTTTTGTCGTGGATTAGCCACTGAGACACAAAATTAACCTTATTGGCCTCATCGATTGAATTCTTCAACTTTACAAACACAAGTCATTAATATCAGAAATGAATTTTCTAAATTGGTAACTTTCGGATGGTCAAGGTGATTATCGTTTTCCGAAGATACATTTTTAGCTCACCTGCCCCTTCTTCCAAACAGGTTGACCAGGTGTCCATTGGAATCGAATATACAAATTCTACAATTACCGGCATCTGCTACAGCTATCTGAAAAGCGGTACTTTTAGCAGTCATCATTCATAATAACTGACATGTGTCTGGTTTAACTGTTTAAGAACTCTATATTGATTACCTGTGTCTGGTTTGAGAACTCTATATTGATTACCTGTGTCTGGTTTGAGAACTCTATATTGATTACCTGTGTCTGGTTTGAGAACTCTATATTGATTACCTGTGTCTGGTTTGAGAACTCTATATTGATTACCTGTGTCTGGTTTAAGAACTTTATATTGATTACCTGTGTCTGGTTGATGATACATAGCCCAGTGGGTGTATCCAAATGCCCGGGCCCTGAGCCCTGGCTACCCCATGAGCTGGAGAAATGTGTGAGGCTGTTTTGGAGCGGTCTCCTAACTGAGGGTGTTGTTACTAGGTGGTCACGTGACACTAGGGCTGTGTCCTGGTCACGTGACACTGGGGCTGTGTCCTGGGTCGAACTATTACTCTCTTGTGCAACTGAGGAGAGTGTCCTATTACATTTCTGTTATATTTATATCTAAAATTTTAACTATTTATTTACGGTGTTTAGACCGCTGACCCAACCCAGAGAATTATGTAACGAAAATGCTGAACCCTTCGATTCTTCGGCTACTGGCCTGATCGAAATACGGCTGTGGGTAAAATCCCACCCCAGTTAACCTAATGGTTGTATATGCAACAAACATTTGATCGGTAGGGGCGCTATCTTAGGGAGGCGCCAAATCGTCGTTTCAATGTGGGACAATTTGGAAAAACTTAACTACGGTATATTACTAGCAAAACTGCATGTTTTGCTCTTATCTAGAAATGCTCTTATCTAGAAATACACTTTTATAGAGTTTTTACCGGCGTATCCTCTAGAATCATCTAATTTGTTCAATTTTAGAGAGGGGCGCCAAATAAAAAGGGGGAGGGGCGCTTTCAGGGGGGGGGGGGGGGGGGCAACGTTACCCCATGGTCACACCGTTTAATTGTAGCAGCTAAATTAGAAAATGCTCACTTGTCTGAGTAGGTGGTGTGTCTGATATTCCTGAGTCGTTTAGACTGCTGTTTGAGTGCGCGGCACTGCACGTGCTGCTTGAGTGCGCGGCACTGCACGTGCTGCTTGAGTGCGCGGCACTGCACGTGCTGCTTGAGTGCGCGGCACTGCACGTGTTGCTTGAGTGCGCGGCACTGCACGTGCTGCTTGAGCTGTGGAGAGATCCGCTCTTTTCTACATACCCTCCCATCCTCTCTGTCACAGCTTTACGCATCTCACTCAGCTCTGAAAATGGTAATCCTCAAGATTTCGCGTTTTTTTATTTAGTCAAGTATTAATTATAGTAACACTAACAAATTCAATAAACCTGAAGTATTGAAAAGTGGAAATGGCTCACACAATCCTTTTCTTATTCAGTGGCCAGCATAATTTATTTGTCTTTTCTTAACACCCTAGTACCCTAAAGCGCATGACACCATAACTGATCCAAGACCAAACCAACTATTACCTCAATTGTTTAGTCTTTTCAGACGCAGAATCTTCCACACCATTAAAATTTGACTTCTTCTGATGTCTGGGACTTACGACCTCAGATGTAGCTGTAATCCCCGGCCCGCTACAACGGGATTAAACTGGGCATGGTGATCTTTTAGCCAGTTGCCAGGTCTTGTAGTTGTATAGCGACTAAGCCCAATAGTGTAGGAACCTTAATTGAGGGACACTACTGCAATGGTATTCAGTGCCCTCAACTTACGATACCGTGATTAAGAGATCCCCGGTTTCCAGTCTGATGTCTCAATAATATATCCACCAGTAGCTGTTCGTATCTCTTCTTTTTTCGAGATTTCTGATCCTCGAAGTTGTCCTCGTTTCCACAGGTCAGCTCTAAGATCAGGATGACTGAGTGTATCCGAGAAGATAACAACATCAGGTCTGAGAGCTGTATTTACGATGTGCTGAGTGCTGAGGGAATTGTCTCGTCGTTTCATCCTCATCAAATATCAACTTCTGTCATTCGTTTCTTCTAGCAAGTGGGGTTCTCCAGTTAACTTGACTAGCAGGAACCCGTATAATATAACCCTAAACGGTGTCAGGACTCAAGAGACTAAAATAATTATTACCTATTTAATTGGCGTTTTGACAACACTTGGGGGTCCAAATTTTGGGCTCTAAAATTATTATTCCTTGGCCAATTTTTTATTTTTCATGCTGAATCAGCATGAAAAAATTGCTGATTCGGAGGCCATTAAAGCATTTGAGCCAGTCAAAAAAGTTTCAGTTGTATATCTTTTACGGTTTTTGTGGAAAGTCGCGTTAAAGTTGATGCCGTGGTGTCAGTAAAATGGCACGGATTATATCGTCTCGCTTTATATATAGTAAGATTTGTGGTTTTTTGTAGATTCCTTGTTCTTAAAGCTACGGGAAGCTTATGGTTGCTATTGAGGCGGCAAACAAGAGCCTTCTGCCAAAGAAGACTCGACAAAAGCAGATTGACCCTTCAAGTGACCCAAGAGTGGACAGTGCAAGGAGGGGACTGTTCTTGGCCAAGGACCAATACCATCAGGAGCGTTGTGAGGAGAAGAGAGAGGAAGTCGCCACTAAAAAGGATTTGTTAAAGGCCTGCTACAAAGAGGTAGAGGAGGAGATCCTGAAAGGAAAGATCAGGAAAGTTGAGGATACTGCTGATCGTTGTAAGAACAAGGAAAGCTGGAAGCTTGTCAACGATATCTCAGGGAGGACAAATCCCAGCTGTGGACTCGTGGAAGGGGGCAGCTCAACAGAACGTCTTGAGAACTGGAGGAAGCACTTCTCTGGGTTACTTGGACAGCCACCCACAGTCCCTGACAATAGCATTCCGATCAGGAATATACACCCTCCACTGAATATAGAGGATGGCCCGTTCACCATTGAGGAACTACGTCTTGCCAAAAAGCAGATAGTAGAAGGCAAAGCTTATGGTGATGATGGTATCTCACCTGAAGTGATGAAGAGGGTGGACATCGATGACGTCATCCTGAAGTTCTGCAACGATGCATTATGTGATGGTCTCATGCCCGATCAATGGAAGCTCAGCAATATTGTTCCTGTGCCAAAGAAAGGGGACCTCACTAAGACCGACAACTACAGAGGAATATCTCTGACATCGATAGTCAGTAAAACTCTGAACAAAATGTTGCTGAACAGGATGAAGCCAAGTCTTGAGGAAGTTTTAAGGGACAAACAGAATGGCTTTAGACCTGGGCGCTCTACAACATCGCAAATCCTTGCTCTACGAAGAATTATGGAGGGTGCTAGAGCCAAAAATCTTAAGGCCACCATGGTTTTCATTGATTTCAAAAAGGCGTTCGATAGTGTGCATAGAGGTTTGCTCATGAAGATATTGAAAGCATATGGCATACCAGAAGCCATAGTGCGGCTCATTGAGGGTATCTATACGAGCACAAAGGCTAAAGTAGTTACAGCCGATGGTATAACAGAAATTTTTGATATCCTGGCTGGAGTACTGCAAGGAGACACTCTTGCCCCGTACTTGTTCATTATCGTGATTGACTATATCATGACAGTGACTATAGACGATGATGACTCGGACTCTGGGTTCACTCTCAGGCCTGCACGGAGTAGAAGGATTGGTGCCGAGAAGATCGCAGACGTCGAGTTTGCAGATGATGTTGCCCTTATCACTGATACCATTGAAGGGGCAAAACTACTCCTGGACAGGCTTGAGAAAGCAGCACTGAGTGCTAGCCATGAACGGCACTAAAACTAAGTTCATGACTCTGAACATGACAGAGGAGGCGAGCAGTCTTAATAGCTGTTCTGGAAACCAGCTGGAAAAGGTGACAGACTTTGTTTACCTTGGAGCTTGGATAGCAACAACAGAGAGGGACCTGCGGGTCAGAAAAGCTAAGGCTTGGGCAGCTTGCCACAAGCTAAAGAAGATGTGGAAGTCTGACCTTAGAAGAGGACTAAAGATCCGTCTATTTGTTGCTACTGTGGAGTCAATACTTCTTTATGGTTCTGAGACGTGGACGTTGACAGAGCAATTGAAGAAACGCATTGATGGCTGCTACACTAGAATGCTAAGGATGGCACTTAATGTGGATTGGAAGCAGCGAAAAACCAACAAAGAAGTCTATGGCAACCTACCGAGAGCAACCATGAAGATCCAAGAGCGCAGGATGCGACTAGCAGGCCATATCCACCGGCACCCAGAACTAGTCGCAAACCGCTTGCTACTCTGGGAACCAACTCATGGGGTGCGGAGTAGGGGGAGACCAGCCATGACCTATGTTGATAGCCTACGAGCTGACACGGGTCTCAACGACACTGGAGAAATGGGCGGACTTATGGCGGATAGAGTTTTATGGAGACAGCGCATCAATACTCGGACGCTGAAGCCGCCTTAAGTCAAGTAAGTCAGTTGTTCTTACGAGAACTTCGAGAAGCCACTATCTGGGGGCAGCGCTTCTAACCTCCCTTATAACTTATTGGTTGCACAACAACCGTGAGCACTTGATCGTGTCTCCAGTTGTATCTTCTTTGCTTCAGTGCTACTGGGCAGCACGTTTAAATGTGCTTTAAATTGCACTGCTGGCGTCCACATTTATCAAATTTGAAAATTCAATTAATTATTATATATATTATATATAAATCAAGCGTTACATTTCAGCCATGCAAAATTACAATGACATATTTTGATATGCTAATTGATAAATGGTACTGCAATATAAGTTGCTTAATGTGTGGCCGAATGACAACTAACTAAACAAGAAAAATAAAAAGATTATATAATAATCAATTTGGCTGAAGTCTGAACCAACACAATATTAAGTTCTGTGGCTCTTACAGCTCTTACAGTGCAAGAGCCACATTAACGTTGGGGCCGTCAAAGGGGACATAATAGCACAGTAAAATGTTACCGTAGAAAATTATAAAAGTTAAAAGCTTACCTTGTGTGAAAGAGGTCAGTGTTTCAGGCAGGAGAGGTTTCCTGATGACGAGGTGGCGCTTACTGTACACCTCTAGAAGGGGCAAAACTTCAGCCTCCACCGCTATAAGCTCCTCTGTCTGACAGTGTGAGAAGCAGCTTCTTTGCAGAGCTAACACACTTTCCATGTTTTCTAGCTCCATCACCGCTTCCTCCTGAACCATGCAGACAGCTCAATGCTCATATTGGGGCACAGCGGGGCAGGAGCAGGGGCAGGAGCAGGGGCAGGAGCAGGAGCAGGGGCAGGGGCAATAAGTAGAGTTAAGTTGATTGAAAGTTAAATAATTATATAATTAAAGCACTAAACTCTAAAGCAAATTGATAAAGCTTTCGCTGACGTTAAGGAAAGTAGAGATTGTCCAGCAAGGGTGTTAATTAGCCGCAATCCTCCCAAGATAAAATACGTTAGGATCTTAAGATTTTTTAGATATCATTGAGCATAAGCAGTGATACAACGTATCTCGGGATGATCCGCAGAGTCTCGACTAGTTTCGGCTTACCGCCATCAACAGGATCGATGAATCATCTAGCGGGAAATTTGAAATCAATTATCAATAAACAACATTCCGAAAGTATAAAAGTAAAATTCAAAAGAAAAAGTCAGTAGGAAAATGTACGAAGTAGGTAATGTAAATAAGGTAACTACTGTGAAAGCATGGAGTGGGCCAAAACAACTACAAAACGTGCAGAGTAAGACTGAACTGAGATAGGAAGTTAAAAGGAGGAAACACGTTCGCAAGCAAAAAGTACACTTTACTGCTAATAACCTAAGAGAGAGTGTGTGTAAGTGTAAAGGGTAAAAAACGCCAAACATCGGACCTAATTCCCGGTAACTTTGCTCCTATTTAACCCAATAATCCTCGCTTTAAATTTCTCGATATAAATATCTTCAAACATGTTAAGTTCCTCTCTACTACATTGTTTAATAATACCCAAATTAAAATTGCTTAATTTCTCAGAAAGTTTGTCTTGGTGCATTTCAGATATGTGCATGGAAAGGGCCGATTTAGTGTAACAACCTGGTTTAAAAGCTGCCCTGTGGCTGTTCATTCGTGTGCTTAAAGTCAACCAGGTTTGGCCGAAATAAAAGCCACTATCGCACAGTTTACATTGGGCTACATAAATCACGTTTTCATTACTACAGTTAAGCCGCATGTCAATTCTGATAATCTGTTTGTTAACTGTCAAAGTACCATTTGCTGTTCCACTAGTTAGCTTGCATGTAAGACAGCGAGGTCTATTGCAGGCTTGTGATGTTATGTCCGCCGTATTGATGGAGTTGGGTGCTGAGTCAGCAGGTGTTGTCGCAAATCTCCGCCTCTTGAACATTTCATCTGCGATGTTGTTGTCCCTTCTGTGAGCTATTGTAATGGATACCTGCTTACCAATGATATGCTCAATAGTTTGTTTCTTATCTTCAAGGAAGCTCCTGATTTCGTTGAGTTCCTTGCAGTACTGTGTTGAGAGGATCAAGTTGCAGTGTTCACTATTTGGCATAGACTCATTGGTATTCTCCCTCGGTGTAAGGCGTTGATCTCGGTTAACCAGACTAGCTTTGGTTAATGCTGCCTTAAGTTCTGCATCCCTGTATCCGCTTTTCTTGAAGTCTCCCATAATCTCTTGTGCTGCTTCCATAAAAGTGTCCTCATCTGAGCATATGGTTTTTGTTCTTAGAAGTTGTGAGTAAGGAACGCTTTTGAAGACATGAGGAGGATGGTGACTGTTCCTCTGTAGAAAAGATCTGTTATCAGTAGGTTTCTTGAACAGAGAGGTAGCCAGAGTTACTGGTGTGTCGTGTTCTGGATCTGTTATCCTGACCTTAACATCCAAGAAGCTTAGCTCTCTACCTCCATCCCCTGTGAACTCTATCCCGTAAGTTGATGACTCACTGTTGAGTTTAGAGACGAAATCCTCAAATTCCTCTTTCGTACCTCTCCATATACCGAAAATGTCGTCGATATACCTTTTCCATAATCTGATGAGTACATCCCACTCTGGTATTTTAGATTTGAGATGTAGTTTGAGAAATTTGAGGAATGTGTCAGCCAAAGGTCTAGATATGGAGCCGCCTGTTGGTACTCCTTTGATGGCTTTGAAATACATGCCTCTGTACTCTAGAGTGGAGTTTTGAAGACAGAATTCGATGCATGGGAGTATGCCGCTTCTGATTTCAGGGGTTAGGGTTCTATCCTCTTCCAGTGCTGCTTTGACTGACTGTAGAACGATGGTCTGGTCCATGCTCGGGTAAGGGGCTTTCACGTCTAGAGTATAGAGTAATTCGCCTTCTTCTATTCCGACTTCTTTTATTTGGTGTAGGAAATCGTTTGTATCCTTGATGTATTCATCACTAGCATAGTTACGTGAAACTTGGCCGAAGTGGTGAGCAAGGAATTGTTCAAGCCTGGTTGTTGGAGATTGGGTAAGAGCGTGTACTAATCTCGATGGGGGAATGGTCCTGTCTAGGATTTGTTGGGGGTCTAGTTTGTGGATCTTGAATAGTGGGTATGGTATTCCTGTCCTTGTCTTAAAACAGGTTTTTCTCATTTTCCCTCCTCTTTCTGTGTACCCCGTAATGGTTTCTAAAATCTTGTTGTTGAAAGAGCCGTTATTGATTAGGTTTTCAATAAGCAACTTCTGGTTTTTAAGAATTCCATCATTAGGGTCTTCTGGTAGACTGCTGTAACCATCTGATTTGCTGAGTTCAGCTCTTATAGCTTTATCCACATCCTGGGGGTTCATCACAAGGACACTTCCTCCTTTATCAGGGAAAATGAGAAAAACCTGTTTTAAGACAAGGACAGGAATACCATACCCACTATTCAAGATCCACAAACTAGACCCCCAACAAATCCTAGACAGGACCATTCCCCCATCGAGATTAGTACACGCTCTTACCCAATCTCCAACAACCAGGCTTGAACAATTCCTTGCTCACCACTTCGGCCAAGTTTCACGTAACTATGCTAGTGATGAATACATCAAGGATACAAACGATTTCCTACACCAAATAAAAGAAGTCGGAATAGAAGAAGGCGAATTACTCTATACTCTAGACGTGAAAGCCCTTTACCCGAGCATGGACCAGACCATCGTTCTACAGTCAGTCAAAGCAGCACTGGAAGAGGATAGAACCCTAACCCCTGAAATCAGAAGCGGCATACTCCCATGCATCGAATTCTGTCTTCAAAACTCCACTCTAGAGTACAGAGGCATGTATTTCAAAGCCATCAAAGGAGTACCAACAGGCGGCTCCATATCTAGACCTTTGGCTGACACATTCCTCAAATTTCTCAAACTACATCTCAAATCTAAAATACCAGAGTGGGATGTACTCATCAGATTATGGAAAAGGTATATCGACGACATTTTCGGTATATGGAGAGGTACGAAAGAGGAATTTGAGGATTTCGTCTCTAAACTCAACAGTGAGTCATCAACTTACGGGATAGAGTTCACAGGGGATGGAGGTAGAGAGCTAAGCTTCTTGGATGTTAAGGTCAGGATAACAGATCCAGAACACGACACACCAGTAACTCTGGCTACCTCTCTGTTCAAGAAACCTACTGATAACAGATCTTTTCTACAGAGGAACAGTCACCATCCTCCTCATGTCTTCAAAAGCGTTCCTTACTCACAACTTCTAAGAACAAAAACCATATGCTCAGATGAGGACACTTTTATGGAAGCAGCACAAGAGATTATGGGAGACTTCAAGAAAAGCGGATACAGGGATGCAGAACTTAAGGCAGCATTAACCAAAGCTAGTCTGGTTAACCGAGATCAACGCCTTACACCGAGGGAGAATACCAATGAGTCTATGCCAAATAGTGAACACTGCAACTTGATCCTCTCAACACAGTACTGCAAGGAACTCAACGAAATCAGGAGCTTCCTTGAAGATAAGAAACAAACTATTGAGCATATCATTGGTAAGCAGGTATCCATAACAATAGCTCACAGAAGGGACAACAACATCGCAGATGAAATGTTCAAGAGGCGGAGATTTGCGACAACACCTGCTGACTCAGCACCCAACTCCATCAATACGGCGGACATAACATCACAAGCTTGCAATAGACCTCGCTGTCTTACATGCAAGCTAACTAGTGGAACAGCAAATGGTACTTTGACAGTTAACAAACAGATTATCAGAATTGACATGCGGCTTAACTGTAGTAATGAAAACGTGATTTATGTAGCCCAATGTAAACTGTGCGATAGTGGCTTTTATTTCGGCCAAACCTGGTTGACTTTAAGCACACGAATGAACAGCCACAGGGCAGCTTTTAAACCAGGTTGTTACACTAAATCGGCCCTTTCCATGCACATATCTGAAATGCACCAAGACAAACTTTCTGAGAAATTAAGCAATTTTAATTTGGGTATTATTAAACAATGTAGTAGAGAGGAACTTAACATGTTTGAAGATATTTATATCGAGAAATTTAAAGCGAGGATTATTGGGTTAAATAGGAGCAAAGTTACCGGGAATTAGGTCCGATGTTTGGCGTTTTTTACCCTTTACACTTACACACACTCTCTCTTAGGTTATTAGCAGTAAAGTGTACTTTTTGCTTGCGAACGTGTTTCCTCCTTTTAACTTCCTATCTCAGTTCAGTCTTACTCTGCACGTTTTGTAGTTGTTTTGGCCCACTCCATGCTTTCACAGTAGTTACCTTATTTACATTACCTACTTCGTACATTTTCCTACTGACTTTTTCTTTTGAATTTTACTTTTATACTTTCGGAATGTTGTTTATTGATAATTGATTTCAAATTTCCCGCTAGATGATTCATCGATCCTGTTGATGGCGGTAAGCCGAAACTAGTCGAGACTCTGCGGATCATCCCGAGATACGTTGTATCACTGCTTATGCTCAATGATATCTAAAAAATCTTAAAACTCTAAAGCACGAATATCGGGCAGGGCCAGGTATCTAAAAGACAAACAAGGGCAAGGGCCAGGCAGGGGTGTAAGAAGCAGGGAAGGGGGCAAATGGCGCGATCCCCCATCTGGGCAAGAGGCGAAAAGGAACAAACATTTTTTGGCCTATCTGCCATTATATAATTTGCCTTGATTTAGGGTTCTAACATTTGATCGAGTATTCTAACATTTGGTCCAGTCGGTAAGATCAGTAAGTCTCGTTATAAGTCTTTATCTTGACTTGTAGTGTTACTATGGTAACTAGTAGTGTAGTATGTAGTGTAGTATGTAGTATTACTTGTTAATTTGCTGTTCGACAATTTGTATCATTTGTAGGAAAAAAGGTTAACCTGGTAACCAATTGTTGCCTACAAGTGCACAGAGCAATTCTACCTGTTGCAATACGAGAGCCTGCTCGTTTTATACTATTCTACCTGCTGTAATACGAGAGCATGCTCGTTTTGTACTATTCTACCTGCTGCAATACAAGAGCCTGCTCGTGTTATATTATTCTACCTGTTGTAATACGAGAGCCTGCTCGTTTTATACTATTCTACCTGCTGTAATACGAGAGCCTGCTCGTTTTATACTATTCTACCTGTTGTAATACGAGAGCCTGCTCGTGTTATATTATTCTACCTGCTGTAATACGAGAGCCTGCTCGTTTTATACTATTCTACCTGCTGCAATACGAGAGCCTGCTCGTTTTATACTATTCTACCTGCTGCAATACAAGAGCCTGCTCGTGTTATATTATTCTACCTGTTGTAATACGAGAGCCTGCTCGTGTTATATTATTCTACCTGTTGTAATACGAGAGCCTGCTCGTTTTATACTATTCTACCTGCTGCAATACGAGAGCCTGCTCGTTTTATACTATTCTACCTGCTGCAATACGAGAGCCTGCTCGTGTTATATTATTCTACCTGTTGTAATACGAGAGCCTGCTCGTTTTATACTATTCTACCTGCTGCAATACGAGAGCCTCCTCGTTCTTTACCCTCCTAGATTCCATTTCGTCCAACATTTCTTTCTCTTTCTGCTTTAGGAGAGCCATACAGAGCTTTATACTATCTGCGACCTTTTTCTTGTGCAGTAGAGTGTTGACATCATTCTGACGTATAGCTAGCTCAAGCTGAAACACTTAGTTTATTACTTTTACTTGTTATACTTATTCAACAAGAAATATATGCACTTTATAATTCCCTTAACAGCACAAGAGTCATGTATATATATATATATATATATATATATATATAAAACTAATCACAACACTACAAATCTATTAAATTTATTGAGGATGACTGTAAAGGTATATTTTACCGACATTTGAAGTCAAGGCGTTGTTTTACTGACAGTTGTGGCTGACTAACAATATATATATAATATATATATATTATCCATAGACACAGTGTTTCGTCCTATTTGGACTCATCAGTATGGCTCAAATCATCAGGGTTGGTTATTATTATTGTATATTATATACAATGTTGTTTTTAACTTGCAATGTGATGTAATTATGCTCGTACCAGTATAGAAAAAGGTCTGCGATCTGGGAAGCACAATCATATCCCATTGGGATACCAATTACCTGTCTGTAGATCACACCTCGAAACTTAACATAAATATTATCCATAAATAATCCATAAATATTATATACAAAATATTGAAATTTGTATCTAGCTCTCGGCTTGCCGATTGAGCACTGTCAGCAGACGACGCCACCCACAATTTATATATTATATAATGTATACTAGTGTAACCCGGCCTTCGGCCGGGATTTCACTGCCGCAGTTAAAAGGGTAGGAGTATTTACCCGCTGAGTCAAAACCCGCATTAGGTGAGCAATTATATTCGGAGTGCCCTCACGTATTATTATTTAACATAACCGCATAATCAATTCTTTCTCATGTATAATTAAGTCATTATTTATAGGAACCACATTCCACGATCATAAGGTCCGTACACCCTGTACCAATTTGGTACAGCATACGTTGATAGTGACGAGCAACAAAACTTTTACCTCAGAACGAAATATAATTATCTTCCACGCAATTTCACTGCCATTTACAAGATAAAAATATCACCGCGCATTCTTCAGACCCTGCGTCGCTGTTCTAAATTTATGTCAAGAGATAAGATTTATTTAAAAATTATTAATAGTACTATTTAAATTTGCTAATAGCGTGATGAATGATGATATTTTATACATTATTCATATTTCATACAATGTGTGCATGTATTTATATTTGATTGTAATTAAAGATTTTAAGGCGTTAGTGCCGAGTAGTAACGACCATTACACCTCATCACATGGGGGTCACGTGATCACATGTGGGTCACATGATCACATTGGGGTCACGTGATCACATGGGGGTCACGTGATCACATGGGGGTCACGTGATCACATGGGGGTCACGTGATCACATGTGGGTCACGTGATCACATGTGGGTCACGTGATCACATGGGGTCACGTGATCACATGGGGGTCACCTCATCACATGGGGGTCACGTGATCACATGGGGGTCACGTGATCACATGGGGGTCACGTGATCACATGGGGGTCACGTGATCACATGGGGGTCACGTGATCACATGTGGGTCACGTGATCACATGGGGTCACGTGATCACATGGGGGTCACGTGATCACATGGGGGTCACATGGTCACATGGGGTCACGTGATCACATGTGGGTCACGTGATCACATGGGGTCACGTGATCACTACCGCTTTCCATTTTATTTAAATCGTTTTAGAAATTAACCATTGTTAACACCCGCCTATTATATTTGAAAACACGCATAAGATTGTATGAACTCTCTCTGCAGTCCAAACAGACCGCAATAAGTGCAATCTCCCCTAATAAGCTTATAGTATTATCTTGTGGCTAACCTAATTATGATTCATGTGCCAACGCTACATAATGTGCAGTAATGGGAGAGAGAGCGAGGAGGGAGAAAAAGAGAGCCATTTTATGTCACATTTGTGGTACAAAACTATCAATTAAACCACTTACCACCGACCAATTTAAAAAACCTTATTCATTTGGCTTTGTCAGAGTTTTCTCGAAACTATACCGAAAAAACTAGTCCCGGTATATAAAATGTTAGGTCTTAGGAATAGGTAGTAATTGTTTTTGAACTCAGTTTAACAAAAATTGTCAAAAATTGAATTTTGAGGGGGCATTTATTCCCTAGTACGATCTTTTTGTCTTCGGCAATAGTAGTAGGAAAATTTTTTTCCTAGAATGTCTATATATGCTATATTTTGACAACACTTATACATTATATCACCACGACAACACGTATATCACCGTAACAACATTTATATCACCGTAACAACATTTATATCACCGTAACAACATTTATATCACCGTAACAACATTTATATCACCGTAACAACATTTATATCACCATAACAACACTTATATCACCGTAACAACACTTATATCACCGTAACACTAACAACACTTATATCACCGTAACAACACTCATATCACCGTAACAAAATGTATATAAAACGTGTTTAGAGCTGACCTGTCTGAGGAAGGAACGCAATGCGTTAGCAGACTTGTTTACCTCAGGTCTGAACAGCGCCGCTTTTGCCCAGACAGTGTCTGCTGGTAGACCAGGGTTGTCATGGTGCTGGAGTCTTGATAACACTTCTATCAACCTGTTTACCCGGAAATCTACCTCAAAGTTTATTATCTCCCCGTTGGGAACCTCAGCTTGGTTTCTACAGGACGGACACTGAAGAGAAATCACGTGGTCACTGATAAAACCATTAATAACCTATACACAATGCTATACACAATTTCAACAGAACAAATGGTAATTTGTTTCAGATTTATAGCGCACGTGCGCGCGCATGGGGGGGATTGAACACTATGTACAGCGCACGTGCGCGCGCATGGGGATTGTACAGTGCACGTGCGCGCGCAGGGGTGTATAGTGCACGTGTGATCTACTATTTGATAGAATAATAAAATAAATGTGCCATAACTTATTACCAGTTATAACCATTTAATTACGCTTTTAAGTTCATGGCTTCATAAACAGATAAACAGTGCAGTCGGGACCAAAAAATGTTCAAAAAGTTCGGTTCGGCAATCGGCAAAAGAAAATCGGAAAATTGTGGTTCGGTGTGGGTATGTTCCTGGTCGGTTGTTTCTTAGTTGAAATATGTAAAATACTAGAACTGTCCTAGTGATAAATAATAATTTGATCCAGGATAAAAAGGCAAACACTTCAAAATAAAAGAGCAAGGATTTAAATAAAAAAGGTTTACCTTGAGATAAAAAGTGACCTGTTGATTATCAGCTCTAGAAATACCCATCAGACACATGTGACAAACAGTGTGGTGGCAGGGCAGAATACGGGGGACATGGTCACCTGCAGTGAAATCAATTAGTTAATAAATTAATAGTTTATATTACGTCTGCTAGTTTATATTACCTGCTAGTTTACATTACCTTTTAGTTTACATCACCTGCTAGTTTAAATTTCCTGCTAGTTACCATGGTTACCTGTTACAGTGAAGCGGTCCATGCACACGGGACACGTAACCTCGTCCTCAATCCGCTCCCTGGCTGTAGCCAAATGGTTACCATGGTTACCTGTTGTAGCCACACGCCCCATTACCATAGTAACCTGTGTAAAGAATCAGTTAGGAGTGAGAGAGATACAGCTGCTAGAGTATGAAATTTCGAACCCCGGACCAAAAACAGAAAAAAGAACCGTTATAAATTTATGAAATCTGTCAAAGTTGGTGCATTTGCCCAAACTTTGACAGTTAATAACATGGTCATATGGTTAATAACATGGTCAATGACCAGGCTCTTACTAAATCGCTCGCCCAAAAATTTCACGTGACTTTGGTTTTTTTGGTTTTGCAGCCGTACAAAACGGTTTTACATAAACCCTAATCCCAACCCTAACCCTAACCATAACCCCGAAGCTATCCATAATCTTAACCACAACCCTAACCCTAACCCGAGCCCTAAATAATCGAATTCACGTTTTACTAGCCTGTCACGTGACCAAAACGGTTTTTGCCCATAACTCTCCAGGGAAGCATTTTAACCCTACGTCATGAGGGGTGATTCGGAATCAGCGTCCAAAAATACACCGATCTTGATCACTTTCATGCCTAAAGGGCCTTTTCACAAGAATTTTCTTAAAATTTGGGCGAGCGATTTAGTAGGAGCGCAATGACCATGTTATTGGCGAGACCATTGGTCATATGTTATATGTAATATGTTAGGTTATTATCCATAATTTATATATGTCCATGAGATTAGTATCTACTATAAATTTATTCTGAAAATTTCATTCAAAATTATTAATCACTACCTCTAAAGCTCGTCACGGGAGCTACTTTGTAAACTAGCATGTAAACTACTTTGTTGGTCGACTGAACTGCTATCATGAAGTTGAAATCAAGTTTCACAACAATAACAGGTTTTACTGTTATACAAACTATCTATAGAAACTAGCAGGTATTAGGTAATGTAAACTAGCAGGTAATATAAATTAGTATGTAATGTAAGCGTTTAAAAAAACCCTCCTGTATGTATAATATTACTATATCATAATAACTACTTAGCGAGATAATCAGATCAGACCTGCGCTAAGAGAAATGAAAATTATAGTGAAAAATGTCTCACAGAATTATATAAATTTATAAAGTGTCTGAGAGAATGGCAGTATTCCCACGAGAGGTAGCAACTAGCAGTAGTGCAGTAGCATGTCAGACTCAGGTACAACTCACAGTACAACTACATTCAGACTAAACACATTTGCTAAGTTATCAGATAAGATTAGTATATCATCACACGCTAATATGTACACTTCTTATAGCGTTATAGCTACACAGTCATGCCATATAATGTGATTTAGTTTAAACTTTTTACTAATTTAAAATTTTTATAACAACTTTGAACTTGTTTTTATTGATCCAATGTTATCATTTAGTCTGATAGGAATAAGCAGTTACTGAGAGAATTGAAATTTACCGAAATTAAAAAGTAGTAATTTCCTGGATAATTAGTTTGTAGTGGACCCTCACCCTCACCCTCACCCTCACCCTCACCCTCACCCTCACCCTCACCCTCACCCTCACCCTCACCCTCACCCTCACCCTCACCCTCACCCTCACCCTCACCCTCACCCTCACCCTCACCCTCACCCTCACCCTCACCCTCACCCTCACCCTCACCTCACCCTCACCCTCACCCTCACCCTCACCCTCACCCTCACCCTCACCCTCACCCTCACCCTCACCCTCACCCTCACCCTCACCCTCACCCTCACCCTCACCCTCACCCTCACCCTCACCCTCACCCTCACCCTCACCCTCACCCTCACCCTCACCCTCACCCTCACCCTCACCCTCACCCTCACCCTCACCCTCACCCTCACCCTCACCCTCACCCTCACCCTCACCCTCACCCTCACCCTCACCCTCACCCTCACCCTCACCCTCACCCTCACCCTCACCCTCACCCTCACCCTCACCCTCACCCTCACCCTCACCCTCACCCTCACCCTCACCCTCACCCTCACCCTCACCCTCACCCTCACCCTCACCCTCACCCTCACCCTCACCCTCACCCTCACCCTCACCCTCACCCTCACCCTCACCCTCACCCTCACCCTCACCCTCACCCTCACCCTCACCCTCACCTTCACCCTCACCTTCACCCTCACCGCAACAGTAATGTAACAGCAATGCAACAGCAATGTAACAGCAATATAACAGCAATATAACATTAACAGTGTTTTCAAAACGCATCAATTTATAATACGATCTTATTTAAGTTTAATATATAACTACTTACTGGGAATATTTCATTGGAATGAAAACATAGAAATGAGTGTCACGTGAGAGACAGTGAATAGAATGAGCGAATAAGAAGAAACTTAAGCGACAACAAGCAGCTCCCACACTAGCATCCCACCGTCCTACAGCAAGCAGCTCTTCATATTGCTTGTCAGGATGTGTCATAACAAGGAGATGCAACTATCACACTACTAGACTGTAGTTACTTATATATATGTAGTTACTTATATACGCTCATCTAACTGCGTATAATGCGATTACACTATTAATCGCACGAGGCGAAGCCGAGCTCGATTATTGCAGTTATTTCACGAGGCGCAGCCGATTATTGCAGTTATTTCACGAGGCGCAGCCGAGTGCAATAACTGGTATAATCTTATTATACATGCAGTTAGATTCGCGTATAACTACACGCTTCTGGTCTTATATAATCGGTGCGATAGCCAAGGTATCATTATATTATAATACTATAATACCTTGGCTTCTGAGTGCTAAGTGCGATAATTCCCGACAGCTTGCTGGAGGGAACGCGCGGGCACGAAATACATACAGATCCGTATGTACAAACGAGCATTTGTGGACAGATAAAATCTAACTGTTAAATAGTAAATTAGTTGACAGTACACAACACAATCACGCACCTATATACACTGCAGATACATGGGTTATTTGCGAGCAGGAAGCTCCCCTCTCTGCGAATAATTACCTAATTGATTGCCATGGCAACAAGGGCAAACCTCCTGGACTTGCCCTTGTTACCTATAATAAATAACATTTCACTACATATGAATAAATAATACATTGGACAATGGACAATGTACTACACAAATCACCTGTAAATAATACATTATACTATACAGAAAGTCACTTGTAAGTTTGGGTTGAGTAGTAAAAGTGCAATAACCACACTTTCACAGTTCACACTGTATAACCCGTACTCGCACATTGGTCAAATTGTTACAAATCTATATCCTTACCGTTAACAAATATTTAGCTACCTTATCAAACTTTATTTGAACGGAAATTAATCGAATGCTGAAGGCCCTAGCGTTCAAATAAAGTTCGTTCAAATAAAATTTCCGTTCAACATCGAAAAAATTAAAAAGTCGTCATATCCTGGGGCTGGACAATAAGTTCGTAGTGGAATACTTGTGGGAAAAAAATCAACGGACTTTGACTTGAACTTCAAGTCAAAGTCCGTTGATTTTTTTCCCACAAGTATTCCACTACGAACTTATTGTCCAGCCCCAGGATATGACGACTTTTTAATTTTTTCGATTTCAATTTTTATCGTTAGACATCAACATTTTTACTGTTTAACGACTACACTAATTTGTACTTTTCTTGCTTACTGTATTAAAAATTGATCGAAAATGTATCTTTAAATTGTTTAAAAACGCCCAAAAATATTTTAGAAATTTTTGATTTTTAATCGGTTTGATTGCCTCCGAGCGTTCATTTTAAAGTCCGTCAAACATTATATACGTTCACCTAATTTCCGGTCAAAAAACGTCCAATAAGGTATATCGTTTGTGCTCAGTTGTAACGATAAGCATGTCTCGACTATTAAAGTATCATGATTATTAAAATATCGCGACTATAAGAGGATCGTGACTATTAGAGGATCGTGACTATAAGAGGATCCTGACTATTAGAGGATCGTGACTATAAGAGGATCCTGACTATTAGAGGATCGTGACTATAAGAGGATCCTGACTATTAGAGGATCGTGACTATTAGAGGATCGTGACTATTAAAAGATCGTAGGGAATAAGTAATCGGGTTTGGATATATGAGGTGGCCCGACGGTCCTGCAGTGACGACAAAAGTCTGCTCCTTCGCAATATAGAGCACTCCCCTATAATTATGTGTATTGGAAGCGTCTGTTATGCTGCGCACGACGCTAGCCATGTGTTAATTAACTACAGTGAAGTTCCTCCTTCGCAAAGTTATTTTCCGCAATTTTCTGGATTCATTTATTGTTGATGCGCGCGGCGCTACATTTGTCAAATAAATGATCAAGTTTAACCATTACATGCGCGGATCCCACTCATTTATTAAAATCGTAGTATGTAAATATGTTGCACCTTTTTCCAGTCACACTTTTCACTCGAAAGAATTAATAGTACAAAATACAAGTACATCGTAGGGAAAATTGATCGTGCGTGGTTTAACCGCGGCGAAATTTTTGTTATCACTATCAGTAGGATGCAGATTTCAACATTAATAGAATTTCATATTTCATATTTTGCCAACAGGCAACGTTACGCCATTGTACAGAATGACAGATTCTTATCAGTTGTTCACGCCCGAAGTAGTTACAGGTAACAAAATGACGCGCAATATCTTGGGAAAGTTTGTGATAAGAAGATTAAATTAGAGAAGTTGGAGTGATTGATACCTCGGGACAAGTTAAGATATAATAGGGTTGCAGGGGGCTGGTCAGGTGACAGCTCAACTGATAGTATCAAATTACCTGCTTATCATGCATCATGCCATACTACCAACTACTCTTCCTTCTTTTTCAGAACAGTTTGATTTCTAACGAACTCAGCCAGCAATTATGCCAGCAATCATGCGCCATTGTTGAATTTTACAATATAGATCCAAATTGTGGTTTGTAAGGTTCAAAATCTTGTTTTATACTAACACTCTTTGTTTTAAGTAACACTCTCTGTTTTTAATTAACACCCTCTGTTTTTAATTAACACCCTTTCTTTTAAACTAACGCTCTCTGTTTTTGAATAACACTCTGTTTTTAATTAACACCCTTTGTTTTTATTTCACACTCTCTGTTTTTAACTAACACTCTCTGTTTTTAACTAACACCCTTTGTTTTTTAATAATACTCTGTTTTTAACTAACGCCCTCTGTTTTTTAATAACACTCTGTTTTTAATTAACACCCTCTGTTTTTATTTCACACTCTGTTTTTAATTAACACACTTTGTTTTCATTTCACACTCTCTGTTTTTAACTAACACTCTCTGTTTTTGAATAACACTCTGTTTTTAATTAACACCCTCTGTTTTTAAACTAACGCTCTCTGTTTTTGAATAACACTCTCTGTTTTTGAATAACACTCTGTTTTTAATTAACACCCTCTGTTTTTATTTCACACTCTCTGTTTTTAACTAACGCCCTCTGTTTTTTAATTACACTCTGTTTTTTAATAACACTCTGTTTTTAACTAACGCCCTCTGTTTTTGAATAACACTCTCTGTTTTTGAATAACACTCTGTTTTTAATTAACACCCTCTGTTTTTATTTCACACTCTCTGTTTTAAACTAACACTCTCTGTTTTAACTAACACCCTTTGTTTTTAACTAACACTCTCTGTTTTAACTAACACCCTATCTCCTAGTGTAGCTGGCAATGATGAGAGGAGTACTAATTGTTTTAACTAACACCCTATCTCCTAGTGTAGCTGGTAATGATGAGAGGAGTACTAATTGTTTTAACTAACACCCTATCTCCTAGTGTAGCTGGTAATGATGAGAGGAGTACTAATTGTTTTAAACTAACACCCTATCTCCTAGTGTAGCTGGTAATGATGAGAGGAGTACTAATTGTTTTAACTAACACCCTATCTCCTAGCGTAGCTGGTAATGATGAGAGGAGTACTAATTGTTTTAACTAACACCCTATCTCCTAGTGTAGCTGGTAATGATGAGAGGAGTACTAATTGTTTTAACTAACACCCTATCTCCTAGTGTAGCTGGTAATGATGAGAGGAGTACTAATTGTTTTAAACTAACACCCTATCTCCTAGTGTAGCTGGTAATGATGAGAGGAGTACTAATTGTTTTAAACTAACACCCTATCTCCTAGTGTAGCTGGTAATGATGAGAGGAGTACTAATTGTTTTAACTAACACCCTATCTCCTAGTGTAGCTGGTAATGATGAGAGGAGTACTAATTGTTTTTAACTAACACCCTATCTCCTAGTGTAGCTGGTAATGATGAGAGGAGTACTAATTGTTTTAACTAACACCCTATCTCCTAGTGTAGCTGGTAATGATGAGAGGAGTACTAATTGTTTTAACTAACACCCTATCTCCTAGCGTAGCTGGTAATGATGAGAGGAGTACTAATTGTTTTAACTAACACCCTATCTCCTAGTGTAGCTGGTAATGATGAGAGGAGTACTAATTGTTTTAACTAACACCCTATCTCCTAGTGTAGCTGGTAATGATGAGAGGAGTACTAATTGTTTTAACTAACACCCTATCTCCTAGTGTAGCTGGTAATGATGAGAGGAGTACTAATTGTTTTAACTAACACCCTATCTCCTAGTGTAGCTGGTAATGATGAGAGGAGTACTAATTGTTTTAACTAACACCCTATCTCCTAGTGTAGCTGGTAATGATGAGAGGAGTACTAATTGTTTTAACTAACACCCTATCTCCTAGTGTAGCTGGTAATGATGAGAGGAGTACTAATTGTTTTAACTAACACCCTATCTCCTAGTGTAGCTGGTAATGATGAGAGGAGTACTAATTGTTTTAACTAACACCCTATCTCCTAGTGTAGCTGGTAATGATGAGAGGAGTACTAATTGTTTTAACTAACACCCTATCTCCTAGTGTAGCTGGTAATGATGAGAGGAGTACTAATTGTTTTAACTAACACCCTATCTCCTAGTGTAGCTGGTAATGATGAGAGGAGTACTAATTGTTTTAACTAACACCCTATCTCCTAGTGTAGCTGGTAATGATGAGAGGAGTACTAATTGTTTTAACTAACACCCTATCTCCTAGTGTAGCTGGTAATGATGAGAGGAGTACTAATTGTTTTAACTAACACCCTATCTCCTAGTGTAGCTGGTAATGATGAGAGGAGTACTAATTGTTTTAACTAACACCCTATCTCCTAGTGTAGCTGGTAATGATGAGAGGAGTACTAATTGTTTTAACTAACACCCTATCTCCTAGTGTAGCTGGTAATGATGAGAGGAGTACTAATTGTTTTAACTAACACCCTATCTCCTAGTGTAGCTGGTAATGATGAGAGGAGTACTAATTGTTTTAACTAACACCCTATCTCCTAGTGTAGCTGGTAATGATGAGAGGAGTACTAATTGTTTTAACTAACACCCTATCTCCTAGTGTAGCTGGTAATGATGAGAGGAGTACTAATTGTTTTAACTAACACCCTATCTCCTAGTGTAGCTGGTAATGATGAGAGGAGTACTAATTGTTTTAACTAACACCCTATCTCCTAGCGTAGCTGGTAATGATGAGAGGAGTACTAATTGTTTTAACTAACACCCTATCTCCTAGTGTAGCTGGTAATGATGAGAGGAGTACTAATTGTTTTAACTAACACCCTATCTCCTAGCGTAGCTGGTAATGATGAGAGGAGTACTAATTGTTTTAACTAACACCCTATCTCCTAGTGTAGCTGGTAATGATGAGAGGAGTACTAATTGTTTTAACTAACACCCTATCTCCTAGTGTAGCTGGTAATGATGAGAGGAGTACTAATTGTTTTAACTAACACCCTATCTCCTAGTGTAGCTGGTAATGATGAGAGGAGTACTAATTGGAGCACTATTAGTGCTGGGAGTCAGCTCAGTAGCTGTGCAGATCATAGACCCAGCTAAGTGTACGCTTTGTAAAGCAGCTGTGTCCGAACTCAAGGTTATAATGGACGACAAGGACACTAAAGATCTGCTGGGCGTGTTGAAGAAGGTAGTGTGCGCCAATGTGCCCATACAGGACTGTGATAACTGGGTAGATAGTGAGTTGTCCCAGTTAGAGAGTGTGGTTGAGGCTCTGGATCCTGGCACTGCCTGCTCTCAACTTGCTGTGTGCGCTACTACCATGGCCCCTCTTCAAGACTCCATACAGTGCGAGTTCTGTGAGTTCCTGGGGGATGAGGTGGTGAAGAGAGTGCTAACTAACGCTACAATAGACGAGGTAGTGGCTGCTACTGAGAAGGTGTGTAGTGAGCTCCCCTTCGTTTCTAATGAGTGTAGTGCACTGGTCAAGGAGTACGGACACTTCTATCTCGACCTGCTTGTAGGCTCGATTGATGTGCAGCAACTCTGCTCGAAGATAGGACTCTGCTCTCAACAAGTTAGGGACCTCATAGAAAGTACAGAGCTATTCCAGGTAATAAGGAAGGGTCTCCAGGACGAGGAGGGCTGCAAGGCTTGTACTGATGGTATGGATGTGGTTCAGACTATCCTGACCTCCAAGGATACGCTGGATCTGATACACATTGCAGTACACGAGATATGTGGCCTAACGACCGTAGCCTTTTGCGAGGTTATCGCGGACACCGCAATAGATCAGTTCCTTGACAAACTAATTCCCATGTTCAATCCTGATGCTATCTGCAAGCAGATCGGGGCTTGTCCCGCCCCACAAGCAGTGACCTCTTTAGTCGGGGACGACTCACCCCTCTGTGCTGGCTGTCAGGACCTGCTAGGAGAAGTGAAGAAAGCCGCTAATGACCCGGAAACAATCGCCATTAACAAAGACCTAGCTCCCGTTATCTGTGAGCTGATTTCTATTCCTTTCTGTAACTCACTCATCACCAAGCTCCTCGAGGGGACCCTGGTTAAAGCACAGAACCTAGACGTAGAGGGGACATGTGTGGCTCTGGATGCTTGTCCAGGATCAGTAGTAGGAGTGGGGGATGTGTGCTCAGAGTGTGCTGAGATAGCTGACCTTGTTATAAAGGAGCTACAGGACCCGACTGTGCAGCAGCAGATAGAAGCAGTGCTGGACGAGGCGTGTTCTATCCTGCCCATACCGGACTGCAAGGAGACTCTACACAGCTACATGGTCACCATAGAAACACTCATCTCAGGGATGGACGGTAAAACTGTATGTGGCTACGCTGGCCTGTGCAGCTCCAACCAGGAGACAGTGAGCAGCTACCAAGTTAGCAGCAGTAACCTAGACAACCAGGAGACAGTGAGCAGCTACGAAGTGAGCAGCAGTGTAGGAGACACGTGCTCAGAGTGTACCATGATAGCAGGGGAGCTGATAACCCTTCTAGAGAACCAGCAGGTAGACGCTCTCTTAAAAGAGGCCATCTCCGAGATTTGTACTGTTCTTCCCATCTCTGACTGTGAGACCACTCTAGACGGCTATTTCGACCAGCTCGTCGCTCTTCTCAAAAATCTGGACGCTAGAACTCTCTGCAGTCTTATTGGACTCTGCTAGAACTCTCTGCAGTCTTATTGGACTCTGCTAGAACTCGCTGCAGTCTTATTGGACTCTGCTAGAACTCGCTGCAGTCTCATTGGACTCTACTAGAACTCTCTGCAGTCTTATTGGACTCTGCTAGAACTCTCTGCAGTCTTATTGGACTCTGCTACAACTCTCTGCAGTCTCGTTGGACTCGGCTAGAACTCTCTGCAGTCTTATTGGACTCTGCTAGAACTCTCTGCAGTCTTATTGGACTCTGCTAGAACTCTCTGCAGTCTTATTGGACTCTGCTAGAACTCTCTGCAGTCTTATTGGACTCTGCTAGAACTCGCTGCAGTCTTATTGGACTCTGCTAGAACTCGCTGCAGTCTCATTGGACTCTGCTAGAACTCTCTGCAGTCTTATTGGACTCTGCTAGAACTCTCTGCAGTCTTATTGGACTCTGCTAGAACTCGCTGCAGTCTTATTGGACTCTGCTAGAACTCTCTGCAGTCTCGTTGGACTCTGCTAGAACTCTCTGCAGTCTCATTGGACTCTGCTAGAACTCTCTGCAGTCTTATTGGACTCTGCTAGAACTCTCTGCAGTCTTATTGGACTCTGCTAGAACTCTCTGCAGTCTCGTTGGACTCGGCTAGAACTCGCTGCAGTCTTATTGGACTCTGCTAGAACTCTCTGCAGTCTCGTTGGACTCTGCTAGAACTCTCTGCAGTCTCATTGGACTCTGCTAGAACTCTCTGCAGTCTTATTGGACTCTGCTAGAACTCTCTGCAGTCTTATTGGACTCTGCTAGAACTCTCTGCAGTCTCGTTGGACTCTTCTAGAACTCGCTGCAGTCTTATTGGACTCTGCTAGAACTATTCCTTATGATAATACACAATTTGTATTTCAGTAGGATAATTTCATACGATTGAGCACCTTTTTAGATTATGAAATGATTAACTACACCCTGCTACTAGAGTATAATAAAATGATTAATGACGATTAGTTCCATAAAATTTAATCAAATCGAGTTTTGATATTTTTAGAAAACACGACGTGAAGTTTCAGATTTTGTATTTTGTATTTTTGATTTGTGATTGAGTGTAACTTTTAATCTTCTTAATTATTATTTGTTAACAAATTGCAATTTCAATACCAGTTCCTTGTGGACTGTGTCGTGAATAAAAAATACTTCCTTACTAAATTGATATGTAGAACAGAACTATAAAAAACAGGCGTTGAACATGTAACATGTAACATGTATGTAAAGTTGAAGATTCTTAATTTAGAGCTAAAGAAAATTGATAATTTTTATTAAATATATTTTGTAGGATGATGCAGTGGGTCATGGTGTTTCTGTTAGTGAGTCCCTCTCTGAGCAGCCCCTCTCTGAGCAGTCCCTCTCTGAGTGTTCCCTCTCACGAGTGTGGCCTATGTACCAGTGCTCTCTCTGAACTACAAGTATTGTATCAGGACACTGAGACCCAGGACCTGATCTCTGTGGTAGTAGGTGAAGTTTGTGACATGGTGCCTATATTCGACTGTGTGAACTACCTGGAGGAGCTGCTAAACTCTTTAAGTAGAGCTGTGCTAGAATTAGACCCTGTACACCAGTGTGTAGTATTGGGAGCTTGTAGGGGCTCTCACACCACTCCAGTTAACCGCGCATGTGCAGTGTGCGCTAAAGGGGCAGATCTGGTTATCAGGACTCTCAAGGACCCCACCCTAGAGAGGGTAGTGGAGAGGGTTCTGAAAGGTTTGTGTGATTTGCTGAGGAGAGGCCCTCAGTGTAAGAAGACTGTAGACAAATATCTGACTATGATACTGGTGGTCATCACTATGGAGAATCTTAGCGGTGACACTTTCTGTGACTGGGCCTTCTTCAACCTACTCAGAGTGGACTGTAACTTTAGCTAGGGCCTTCTTCAACCTACTCAGAGTGGACTGTAACTTTAGCTAGGGCCTTCTTCAACCTACTCAGAGTGGACTGTAACTTTAGCTAGGGCCTTCTTCAACCTACTCAGAGTGGACTGTAACTTTAGCTAGGGCCTTCTTCAACCTACTCAGAGTGGACTGTAACTTTAGCTAGGGCCTTCTTCAACCTACTCAGAGTGGACTGTAACTTTAGCTAGGCCTTCTTCAACCTACTCAGAGTGGACTGTAACTTTAGCTAGGGCCTTCTTCAACCTACTCAGAGTGGACTGTAACTTTAGCTAGGGCCTTCTTCAACCTACTCAGAGTGGACTGTAACTTTAGCTAGGGTCTTCTTCAACCTACTCAGAGTGGACTGTAACTTTAGCTAGGGTCTTCTTCAACCTACTCAGAGTGGACTGTAACTTTAGCTAGGGCCTTCTTCAACCTACTCAGAGTGGACTGTAACTTTAGCTAGGGCCTTCTTCAACCTACTCAGAGTGGACTGTAACTTTAGCTAGGGCCTTCTTCAACCTACTCAGAGTGGACTGTAACTTTAGCTAGGGCCTTCTTCAACCTACTCAGAGTGGACTGTAACTTTAGCTAGGGCCTTCTTCAACCTACTCAGAGTGGACTGTAACTTTAGCTAGGCCTTCTTCAACCTACTCAGAGTGGACTGTAACTTTAGCTAGGGCCTTCTTCAACCTACTCAGAGTGGACTGTAACTTTAGCTAGGGCCTTCTTCAACCTACTCAGAGTGGACTGTAACTTTAGCTAGGGCCTTCTTCAACCTACTCAGAGTGGACTGTAACTTTAGCTAGGGCCTTCTTCAACCTACTCAGAGTGGACTGTAACTTTAGCTAGGGCCTTCTTCAACCTACTCAGAGTGGACTGTAACTTTAGCTAGGGCCTTCTTCAACCTACTCAGAGTGGACTGTAACTTTAGCTAGGGCCTTCTTCAACCTACTCAGAGTGGACTGTAACTTTAGCTAGGGCCTTCTTCAACCTACTCAGAGTGGACTGTAACTTTAGCTAGGCCTTCTTCAACCTACTCAGAGTGGACTGTAACTTTAGCTAGGGCCTTCTTCAACCTACTCAGAGTGGACTGTAACTTTAGCTAGGGCCTTCTTCAACCTACTCAGAGTGGACTGTAACTTTAGCTAGGGCCTTCTTCAACCTACTCAGAGTGGACTGTAACTTTAGCTAGGGCCTTCTTCAACCTACTCAGAGTGGACTGTAACTTTAGCTAGGGCCTTCTTCAACCTACTCAGAGTGGACTGTAACTTTAGCTAGGGCCTTCTTCAACCTACTCAGAGTGGACTGTAACTTTAGCTAGGGCCTTCTTCAACCTACTCAGAGTGGACTGTAACTTTAGCTAGGGCCTTCTTCAACCTACTCAGAGTGGACTGTAACTTTAGCTAGGGCCTTCTTCAACCTACTCAGAGTGGACTGTAACTTTAGCTAGGGCCTTCTTCAACCTACTCAGAGTGGACTGTAACTTTAGCTAGGGCCTTCTTCAACCTACTCAGAGTGGACTGTAACTTTAGCTAGGCCTTCTTCAACCTACTCAGAGTGGACTGTAACTTTAGCTAGGGCCTTCTTCAACCTACTCAGAGTGGACTGTAACTTTAGCTAGGGCCTTCTTCAACCTACTCAGAGTGGACTGTAACTTTAGCTAGGGCCTTCTTCAACCTACTCAGAGTGGACTGTAACTTTAGCTAGGGCCTTCTTCAACCTACTCAGAGTGGACTGTAACTTTAGCTAGGGCCTTCTTCAACCTACTCAGAGTGGACTGTAACTTTAGCTAGGGCCTTCTTCAACCTACTCAGAGTGGACTGTAACTTTAGCTAGGGCCTTCTTCAACCTACTCAGAGTGGACTGTAACTTTAGCTAGGGCCTTCTTCAACCTACTCAGAGTGGACTGTAACTTTAGCTAGGGCCTTCTTCAACCTACTCAGAGTGGACTGTAACTTTAGCTAGGGCCTTCTTCAACCTACTCAGAGTGGACTGTAACTTTAGCTAGGGCCTTCTTCAACCTACTCAGAGTGGACTGTAACTTTAGCTAGGGCCTTCTTCAACCTACTCAGAGTGGACTGTAACTTTAGCTAGGGCCTTCTTCAACCTACTCAGAGTGGACTGTAACTTTAGCTAGGGCCTTCTTCAACCTACTCAGAGTGGACTGTAACTTTAGCTAGGGCCTTCTTCAACCTACTCAGAGTGGACTGTAACTTTAGCTAGGGCCTTCTTCAACCTACTCAGAGTGGACTGTAACTTTAGCTAGGGCCTTCTTCAACCTACTCAGAGTGGACTGTAACTTTAGCTAGGCCTTCTTCAACCTACTCAGAGTGGACTGTAACTTTAGCTAGGGCCTTCTTCAACCTACTCAGAGTGGACTGTAACTTTAGCTAGGGCCTTCTTCAACCTACTCAGAGTGGACTGTAACTTTAGCTAGGGCCTTCTTCAACCTACTCAGAGTGGACTGTAACTTTAGCTAGGGCCTTCTTCAACCTACTCAGAGTGGACTGTAACTTTAGCTAGGGCCTTCTTCAACCTACTCAGAGTGGACTGTAACTTTAGCTAGGCCTTCTTCAACCTACTCAGAGTGGACTGTAACTTTAGCTAGGGCCTTCTTCAACCTACTCAGAGTGGACTGTAACTTTAGCTAGGGCCTTCTTCAACCTACTCAGAGTGGACTGTAACTTTAGCTAGGGCCTTCTTCAACCTACTCAGAGTGGACTGTAACTTTAGCTAGGGCCTTCTTCAACCTACTCAGAGTGGACTGTAACTTTAGCTAGGGCCTTCTTCAACCTACTCAGAGTGGACTGTAACTTTAGCTAGGGCCTTCTTCAACCTACTCAGAGTGGACTGTAACTTTAGCTAGGGCCTTCTTCAACCTACTCAGAGTGGACTGTAACTTTAGCTAGGGCCTTCTTCAACCTACTCAGAGTGGACTGTAACTTTAGCTAGGGCCTTCTTCAACCTACTCAGAGTGGACTGTAACTTTAGCTAGGGCCTTCTTCAACCTACTCAGAGTGGACTGTAACTTTAGCTAGGGCCTTCTTCAACCTACTCAGAGTGGACTGTAACTTTAGCTAGGGCCTTCTTCAACCTACTCAGAGTGGACTGTAACTTTAGCTAGGGCCTTCTTCAACCTACTCAGAGTGGACTGTAACTTTAGCTAGGGCCTTCTTCAACCTACTCAGAGTGGACTGTAACTTTAGCTAGGCCTTCTTCAACCTACTCAGAGTGGACTGTAACTTTAGCTAGGCCTTCTTCAACCTACTCAGAGTGGACTGTAACTTTAGCTAGGGCCTTCTTCAACCTACTCAGAGTGGACTGTAACTTTAGCTAGGCCTTCTTCAACCTACTCAGAGTGGACTGTAACTTTAGCTAGGCCTTCTTCAACCTACTCAGAGTGGACTGTAACTTTAGCTAGGGCCTTCTTCAACCTACTCAGAGTGGACTGTAACTTTAGCTAGGGCCTTCTTCAACCTACTCAGAGTGGACTGTAACTTTAGCTAGGGCCTTCTTCAACCTACTCAGAGTGGACTGTAACTTTAGCTAGGGCCTTCTTCAACCTACTCAGAGTGGACTGTAACTTTAGCTAGGGCCTTCTTCAACCTACTCAGAGTGGACTGTAACTTTAGCTAGGGCCTTCTTCAACCTACTCAGAGTGGACTGTAACTTTAGCTAGGGCCTTCTTCAACCTACTCAGAGTGGACTGTAACTTTAGCTAGGGCCTTCTTCAACCTACTCAGAGTGGACTGTAACTTTAGCTAGGGCCTTCTTCAACCTACTCAGAGTGGACTGTAACTTTAGCTAGGGCCTTCTTCAACCTACTCAGAGTGGACTGTAACTTTAGCTAGGGCCTTCTTCAACCTACTCAGAGTGGACTGTAACTTTAGCTAGGGCCTTCTTCAACCTACTCAGAGTGGACTGTAACTTTAGCTAGGGCCTTCTTCAACCTACTCAGAGTGGACTGTAACTTTAGCTAGGGCCTTCTTCAACCTATTCAGAGTGGACTGTAACTTTAGCTAGGCCTTCTTCAACCTACTCAGAGTGGACTGTAACTTTAGCTAGGCCTTCTTCAACCTACTCAGAGTGGACTGTAACTTTAGCTAGGGCCTTCTTCAACCTACTCAGAGTGGACTGTAACTTTAGCTAGGCCTTCTTCAACCTACTCAGAGTGGACTGTAACTTTAGCTAGGGCCTTCTTCAACCTACTCAGAGTGGACTGTAACTTTAGCTAGGGCCCAGTGGCGGGGGGGCGCCACTGAGAGGGCCACTGAGAGCATCATTACATTTAACTACATCATGTTATGGACTAACAGGCCAAAAATATTTAATTTTAGGTTCCTTTTCGTTTATATTTTTACGTGTTGTTGATTTAAATAATTTTTGGCATCAATATTAGCGAATTTTTCTTTATTACACAGTGATAATTCGTCACGTAGGGAGGGGGGGAGGGGGTGGGGGGAGGAGGGGGGTGGTTTCAGGATCTTAATATGTACTTTGTTTAAAGCACGAAATAATACAAAACAAGACTGTAGACTAGCACAGATTCCAAATCAATTTATATAAACCTAGAGCACTACTATCCGCGCCGTGACCCCCCCCGCCGTGCAGAAAGGCTCTAATTGGTGGATGACCTGTCTCGTGACCTGCAGTTGTCATGGCAACTGTACCACATGTCCTCATTGGTTATCTACAGTACATCTAAAATAGTTAACTATGTATTAATATGTACTATAGTACTATGTTCCCTCGTGTGTCGACCGCTTAACAGAATCCTGACTTTGACTTTATACCGGGGAAAGAAATAGTATTATTATTATATTATTGTGCGTCTTTCTCTTTTGATCTTGCATTGTACTAGTTCATTGACTTATCGTTCATTGTTCCTCGAAACAATATGACCTGTGTGAATTGTTGCTGCCCCTGGTTACAGATATTCAACCATGTTCTCAATGTACAGAAGGTAAGAGACTACATATGTATATACTTATATACACGACACGTGTATTTAGTTTCAAGAGAACTTATAGTTTTATATTGTTCAATTTACCATCAAAATAACGACAAAACATCAATTCAGTTATATCATTATAAAAGTAATAACTATACAATATAACTTTACCACCAGTTTATACCACCAGTTACCACCAGTTACCACCAGTTACCACCAGTTACCACCAGTTACCACCAGTTACCACCAGTTACCACCAGTTACCACCAGTTACCACCAGTTACCACCAGTTACCACCAGTTACCATAGACTAGTACCTAGAGTCAGGTCAATGAGAGACCTAGTTACCACAGTAAGGTCAATGAGAGACCAGTACCTAGAGTCAGGTCACTGAGAGACTAGTACCTAGAGTCAGGTCAATGAGAGACTAGTACCTAGAGTCAGGTCAATGAGAGACTAGTACCTAGAGTCAGGTCAATGAGAGACTAGTACCTAGAGTCAGGTCAATGAGAGACTAGTACCTAGAGTCAGGTCAATGAGAGACTAGTACCTAGAGTCAGGTCAATGAGAGACTAGTACCTAGAGTCAGGTCAATGAGAGACTAGTACCTAGAGTCAGGTCAATGAGAGACTAGTACCTAGAGTCAGGTCAATGAGAGACTAGTACCTAGAGTCAGGTCAATGAGAGACCAGTACCTAGAGTCAGGTCAATGAGAGACTAGTACCTAGAGTCAGGTCAATGAGAGACTAGTACCTAGAGTCAGGTCAATGAGAGACTAGTACCTAGAGTCAGGTCAATGAGAGACTAGTACCTAGAGTCAGGTCAATGAGAGACTAGTACCTAGAGTCAGGTCAATGAGAGACTAGTACCTAGAGTCAGGTCAATGAGAGACTAGTACCTAGAGTCAGGTCAATGAGAGACTAGTACCTAGAGTCAGGTCAATGAGAGACTAGTACCTAGAGTCAGGTCAATGAGAGACTAGTACCTAGAGTCAGGTCAATGAGAGACTAGTACCTAGAGTCAGGTCAATGAGAGACTAGTACCTAGAGTCAGGTCAATGAGAGACTAGTACCTAGAGTCAGGTCAATGAGAGACTAGTACCTAGAGTCAGGTCAATGAGAGACTAGTACCTAGAGTCAGGTCAATGAGAGACTAGTACCTAGAGTCAGGTCAATGAGAGACTAGTACCTAGAGTCAGGTCAATGAGAGACTAGTACCTAGAGTCAGGTCAATGAGAGACTAGTACCTAGAGTCAGGTCAATGAGAGACTAGTACCTAGAGTCAGGTCAATGAGAGACTAGTACCTAGAGTCAGGTCAATGAGAGACTAGTACCTAGAGTCAGGTCAATGAGAGACTAGTACCTAGAGTCAGGTCAATGAGAGACTAGTACCTAGAGTCAGGTCAATGAGAGACTAGTACCTAGAGTAAGGTCAATGAGAGACTAGTACCTAGAGTCAGGTCAATGAGAGACTAGTACCTAGAGTCAGGTCAATGAGAGACTAGTACCTAGAGTCAGGTCAATGAGAGACTAGTACCTAGAGTCAGGTCAATGAGAGACTAGTACCTAGAGTCAGGTCAATGAGAGACTACTACTAGTACCTAGAGTCAGGTCAATGAGAGACTAGTACCTAGAGTCAGGTCAATGAGGGACTAGTACCTAGAGTCAGGTCAATGAGAGACTAGTACCTAGAGTCAGGTCAATGAGAGACTAGTACCTAGAGTCAGGTCAATGAGAGACTAGTACCTAGAGTCAGGTCAATGAGAGACCAGTACCTAGAGTCAGGTCAATGAGAGACCAGTACCTAGAGTCAGGTCAATGAGAGACTAGTACCTAGAGTCAGATCAATGAGAGACTAGTACCTAGAGTCAGGTCAATGAGAGACCAGTACCTAGAGTCAGGTCAATGAGGGACTAGTACCTAGAGTCAGGTCAATGAGAGACTAGTACCTAGAGTCAGGTCACTGAGAGACCAGTACCTAGAGTCAGGTCAATGAGAGACTAGTACCTAGAGTCAGGTCAATGAGAGACTAGTACCTAGAGTCAGGTCAATGAGAGACTAGTACCTAGAGTCAGGTCAATGAGAGACCAGTACCTAGAGTCAGGTCAATGAGAGACCAGTACCTAGAGTCAGGTCACTGAGAGACTAGTACCTAGAGTCAGGTCAATGAGAGACTAGTACCTAGAGTCAGGTCAATGAGAGTCTAGTACTTAGAGTCAGGTCAATGAGAGACTAGTACCTAGAGTCAGGTCAATGAGAGACCAGTACCTAGAGTCAGGTCAATGAGAGACCAGTACCTAGAGTCAGGTCAATGAGAGACTAGTACCTAGAGTCAGGTCAATGAGAGACCAGTACCTAGAGTCAGGTCAATGAGAGACTAGTACCTAGAGTCAGGTCAATGAGAGACCAGTACCTAGAGTCAGGTCAATGAGAGACTAGTACCTAGAGTCAGGTCAATGAGAGACCAGTACCTAGAGTCAGGTCAATGAGAGACTAGTACCTAGAGTCAGGTCAATGAGAGACTAGTACCTAGAGTCAGGTCAATGAGAGACTAGTACCTAGAGTCAGGTCAATGAGAGACTAGTACCTAGAGTCAGGTCAATGAGATATTAGTTCCTAGAGTCAGGTCAATGAGAGACTAGTACCTAGAGTCAGGTCAATGAGAGACTAGTACCTAGAGTCAGGTCAATGAGAGACTAGTACCTAGAGTCAGGTCAATGAGAGACTAGTACCTAGGGTCAGGTCAATGAGGGACTAGTACCTAGAGTCAGGTCAATGAGGGACTAGTACCTAGAGTCAGGTCACTGAGAGACTAGTACCTAGAGTCAGGTCAATGAGAGACTAGTACCTAGAGTCAGGTCAATGAGAGACTAGTACCTAGAGTCAGGTCAATGAGAGACTAGTACCTAGAGTCAGGTCAATGAGAGACTAGTACCTAGAGTCAGGTCAATGAGAGACTAGTACCTGGAGTCAGGTCAATGAGAGATTAGTACCTAGAGTCAGGTCACTGAGAGACTAGTACCTAGAGTCAGGTCAATGAGGGACTAGTACCTAGAGTCAGGTCACTGAGAGACTAGTACCTAGAGTCAGGTCAATGAGAGACTAGTACCTAGAGTCAGGTCAATGAGAGACTAGTACCTAGAGTCAGGTCACTGAGAGATTAGTACCTAGAGTCAGGTCAATGAGAGACTAGTACCTAGAGTCAGGTCAATGAGAGACTAGTACCTGACTCTAGGTACTAGATGTAATAACTGTTTTAACTCACATGATAGGGTGCTGACTGCTGAATTTGCTGATAAGCTTTGCTTCTGGTGACTCAGGTGGTTACAGTAATCTGATAGGAACATCAGACTGCAAGCATGTCTAATTCAGTTTGTGTTATCTGGGTCCTTTAGTCAGGTCAGCGTGTTATCGGGACCATGTGACAGGTTTGTGTCGTGCTCTTACTTTACTTACTTTACTGGTACCTAGAGTCAGTGCTCTTACTGGTCCAGATACTCAAATAAAATGCTGCTGTGTTGTTTGTGTTACCTTCCCTCATTTCCTACATGTGGTTTTGTTACAGCTTCGCAGTACCACAACCCAGCCACTGTACTACTAGGCCACCCAGCCACCCAGCCACTGTACCACTAGGCCACCCAGCCACTGTACCACTAGGCCACCCAGCTACCCAGCCACTGTACCACTAGGCCACCCAGCCACTGTACCACTAGGCCAATCAGCCACTGTACCACTAGGCCACCCAGCCACTGTACCACTAGGCCACCCAGCCACTGTACCACTAGGACACCCAGCCACTGTACCACTAGGACACCCAGCCACTGTACCACTAGACCACCCAGCCACTGTACCACTAGACCACCCAGCCACTGTACCACTAGGCCACCCAGCTACCCAGCCACTGTACCACTAGGACACCCAGCCACTGTACCACTAGGACACCCAGCCACAGTACCACTAGGACACCCAGCCACTGTACCACTAGGCCACCCAGCCACTGTACCACTAGGACACCCAGCCACTGTACCACTAGGCCACCCAGCCACCCAGCCACTGTACCACTAGGACACCCAGCCACTGTACCACTAGGACACCCAGCCACTGTACCACTAGGCCACCCAGCCACTGTACCACTAGCCCACCCAGCCACTGTACCACTAGGCCACCCAGCCACTCTACCACTAGGCCACCCAGCCACAGTACCACTAGGCCACCCAGCCACTGTACCACTAGGCCACCCAGCCACTGTACCACTAGGCCACCCAGCCACCCAGCCACTGTACCACTAGGCCACCCAGCCACTGTACCACTAGGCCACCCAGCCACTCTACCACTAGGCCACCCAGCCACAGTACCACTAGGCCACCCAGCCACTGTACCACTAGGACACCCAGCCACAGTACCACTAGTACACCCAGCCACTGTACCACTAGGACACCCAGCCACTGTACCACTAGGCCACCCAGCCACTGTACCACTAGGACACCCAGCCACTGTACCACTAGGCCACCCAGCCACTGTACCACTAGGACACCCAGCCACTGTACCACTAGGACACCCAGCCACTGTACCACTAGTCCACCCAGCCACTGTACCACTGTACCACTAGGCCACCCAGCCACTGTACCACTAGGCCACCCAGCCACTGTACCACTAGGACACCCAGCCACTGTACCATTAGGACACCCAGCCACTGTACCACTAGGACACCCAGCCACTGTACCACTAGGACACCCAGCCACTGTACCACTAGGACACCCAGCCACTGTACCACTAGGACACCCAGCCACTGTACCACTAGGCCACCCAGCCACTGTACCACTAGGACACCCAGCCACTGTACCACTAGGCCACCCAGCCACTGTACCACTAGGACACCCAGCCACTGTACCACTAGGCCACCCAGCAACTGTACCACTAGGCCACCCAGCCACTGTACCACTAGGCCACCCAGCCACTGTACCACTAGGACACCCAGCCACTGTACCACTAGACCACCCAGCCACTGTACCACTAGGACACCCAGCCACTGTACCACTAGGACACCCAGCCACTGTACCACTAGGCCACCCAGCCACTGTACCACTAGGACACCCAGCCACTGTACCACTAGGACACCCAGCCACTGTACCACTAGGACACCCAGCCACTGTACCACTAGGCCACCCAGCCACTGTACCACTAGACCACCCAGCCACTGTACCACTAGACCACCCAGCCACTGTACCACTAGGACACCCAGCCACTGTACCACTAGGACACCCAGCCACTGTACCACTAGGCCACCCAGCCACTGTACCACTAGGACACCCAGCCACTGTACCACTAGGACACCCAGCCACTGTACCACTAGGACACCCAGCCACTGTACCACTAGGCCACCCAGCCACTGTACCACTAGACCACCCAGCCACTGTACCACTAGACCACCCAGCCACTGTACCACTAGGACACCCAGCCACTGTACCACTAGGCCACTCAGCCACTGTACCACCCAGCCACTGTACCACTGTACCACTAGACCACCCAGCCACTGTACCGATATTTTAACAGTTGAAATTGAAATAGTGGGAGCAGGCTCATTAAGGGTAGTTCGTGTCTAGTTGATCTTCATAATGTAACTATGGTAACATTCTTATAATATTAACATTTTTCTAAATATTTTTTCTATTTTTGACTATTAATTATTGAATTAAATATTTAACTTAACCTGATTTAAAAAGTTAAAATGCTGACTATATGCGTATTTACATGAAGTATACATGAACTAACAATATTATAACAGCTCAGTAGTGAGATGAAGGTGATAACAGTATTGCTGTGTTTAGTGCTAAGTGTTGCTGCCGGAAATGTGGATCCTGCAGAGAACGTGCTGTGCGATGTCTGCCGCTTTATAGGAGATGAAGTGACTGGTAGAGTGCTCACCCAGGAGGCTAAGAGTAAAGTTATCAACTTGGCTAAGGCAGTGTGCAGCCAGATACCAGTCTTCTCTAAGGAATGTGACCTGGCAGTGAGCCAGCACGGTAAAGACTGGGTGGACACTCTGTTCCGGCTGTTTGATGTGGACATGCTCTGCTCTAAAGCCCACCTCTGCACCTCTACCACAATGGACTTTGCTCTGAGGGACGGGGAGGCCTGCACTGCTTGTATGGACGGACTGGACATGGTGAAGATGATAATTGAGAGTGAAGATATGAAGGGGCTGCTGCACGTGGTGGTTAATGAGACTTGTATGGCTGTTGCGGGTGACGCGGCTAGCTGTGAAGCTCTAGTGGATACAGTCCTGGACCAGATACTAGGTAACCTGGTTCCTATGTTCAATGTAAAGGCTCTGTGTGTTAACAGTGGTGCGTGTCCTGCTCAGCTGGCCTCTAAACCCACTGAGATAGGGTGTACTGTGTGTCAGGACGTGTTCGGGATAGTCAGCAACACAGTCAACTCTCCGGAGGTGGAGGAGCTGATAGAGATCACTGTTAACCAGACATGCCTACTAGTAGGGTTCGGGGTGGACCAGTGTGAGCATGTCTTCCTTTACCTAGCCAGCTCTATACTGGACAGTGTCAAGCTGGCAGTCAAACCCGACTATATCTGTGCTAATATGGGGTCTTGTCCTGTTAGTGACACTTTCGAGCTGACCCCTGTAAAGGGTAAGGAGGGCTGTAAGGCTTGTATGGATGGGATGGATCTGGTGGACCAGATACTGAAGTCTAACAGCACAATAGATCTTCTTCACATAGCTATTGATGAGATCTGTATTGCTATCGGAGGAGATGTTGGTACCTGTGAGGGTATTATAGAGGGTACCTTGGATCCCATTATAAATAACCTGATAGCCATGTTCGACCCGGCCAGCCTGTGCAAACAAGCTGGGTCGTGTCCGGCTCTAGAGAATACCAAGTGGGAGGGGGGCGTGTTCTGTGAGGCCTGTGTGGACGGAGTGCTGGAGTTACAGAACATAGCTGAGGACACTGAGACTGACGAGATGTTGGACGAGCTTACTGACATTCTCTGTAATGTTATCCAGATACCCTTCTGTAATACAGTCATAGGCTCCATCATCAAGGAGTCCCTTGCAGACGTTGAGAGCCTGAACCCAAACACAACATGTGCTAACATAGGGGCCTGCAGTAACCTAGACAACCAGGAGACAGTGAGCAGCTACGAAGTGAGCAGCAGTGTAGGAGACACGTGCTCAGAGTGTACCATGATAGCAGGGGAACTGATAACCCTTCTAGAGAACCAGCAGGTAGACGCTCTCTTAAAAGAGGCCATCTCCGAGATTTGCACTGTTCTTCCCATCTCTGACTGTGAGACCACTCTAGACGGCTATTTCGACCAGATCGTCGCTCTTCTCAAGAATATGGACGCTAAAACTCTCTGCAGTCTCATTGGACTCTGCTAGAACTCGCTGCAGTCTTATTGGACTCTGCTAGAACTCGCTGCAGTCTTATTGGACTTTGCTAGAACTCGCTGCAGTCTTATTGGACTCTGCTAGAACTCGCTGCAGTCTCATTGGACTCTGCTAGAACTCGCTGCAGTCTTATTGGACTCTGCTAGAACTCGCTGCAGTCTCATTGGACTCTGCTAGAACTTTCAACTTCAGATTTCAGATTTTTGTTCTTTCAATACTATTCGGTGATTTTGTACTTTATGTTTCTTTCGTGAAGTTTTTAGATTGATAAATAACTTTTTACAATAATACTGATTCAGCATTTTCTTTTATTTACTCATTCCCCTGAAGATGAAGCTAAGTTAATCAGTCCTCCCCCTCCCCCTCCCCCTCCCCCTCCCCCTCCCCCTCCCCCTCCCCCTCCCCCTCCCCCTCCCCCTCCCCCTCCCCCTCCCCCTCCCCCTCCCCCTCCCCCTCCCCCTCCCCCTCCCCCTCCCCCTCCCGCCCCCCTCCCCCTCCCCCTCCCCCTCCCCTTCCTCCTCCCCCTTCCCTTTCCTCTTCCCCATTCCCCCTCATTCTTCGCAGAGTTACGCTGCTTTGGATGTGGAGAGTGATGCGTGCGCGTCCGAAGAAGACTTAAATTACGACCAGCTCCTGGAAGACCTCGATTCGGAGGTGAGCTAAAATTTCTTTGTTAATCCTGATTTGCAGATTACCAAACCCCAAAAGTATTTCAATACAAACTTATTATTGTCCAGGATATGACTACTTTTTAATTTCGGTCAATTTTAATTTCTATCATCGGACTAAATTTTATAAACATTTTACTGTTTAAGTTTAACTTTAACGACTGCTTATAATCTGGTCATCTGGTGTACACACTAAGTTTCTCGATGTAATCCGACTTATATGACCCTAAATAACACTATTTACTCGGGTAAACGTTTTCACCAGTGGGGGCTGGGGCATTTCTCGGAATCACGCCCTTTTTTACCGCACCCATATCGCGACCCCCACTATAAATTATCTCAGCTTCTGATTGAGATACAGAACTCAGATATGAACCAAAATGTGCCTAAGATGCATATTGCATGTTTATATTAGTGCTATGAACATAGTTAAGGGGGCATACACCAAAACTGTCAAAAATTGTCCAACCCAAATGATATCGGCCCCAACGTTAATGTGGCTCTTGCTATGTGTTGGTTCAGCCGAATTAATTATTATGTAATCAAGTTTATTTTTCTCTTTTAGTTAGTTGTCATCCGGCCAAACATTAAGCAACTTATATTGCAGTACCTTTTATCAATTAGTTTATCAAAATATGTCATTGTAATTTTGCATGGCTGAAATGTACGCTTGATTTATATATATAATAATTAATTGAATTTTCAAATAAAAAATAAAATCGTATCCGAAAAGGCTGCGTTTTTATGAATTTTTTAAAATCAGAAAGAATTCTTTGACCATTCGTAACCATTCACTATTGCTTTTTTACAAAAGGGTGAAATGGAAAAAATTTGCCTAAATTTGTTGTTTGACTTTGAGGTCCAAAAGATTAACTTTCCAGCTAAATTACCACATTTTTGGGGGATCAAAAACTGCTTCAGAAAAATATTCCTTGACGGACTTTTTGGTCAAAATAAGTCTGTAAAATAAAATACAACATCTTGAACAAGATATAAATAAACTTCGTGCAACATTTCAGCTTGATATCACAAAAAATAATTTACTTATTATATAGCCTCTCAACAATAGCTTGATATCACAAAAAATAATTGACTTACAATTATATAGCCTCTCAACAAAACAAATTGTGCTTTTCCGAAAAATGCACTTTGACCAGGAAATGCTCGATTACAAAAATGGGAATCCTCAAACAAAATGTGTATGGTATGGAAAGGGTGCGCTAGATCAAGATGATCACTAAACTTCCTATGAGGTCATTTGGGCTGGACATTTTTGTCCAGCCCAAGAGACTTAGTTTTTGAGACATCGCCAAAAATCCGATTTTATTATATTAGCAGTCTCGTGAGTAACAATTACTCACACTTATTTCAAAATATCTCAGCTTCTGATTGGAGCTAAGCGATCATATTGGGCATTAAAATTGTCGGATGATGATTAATCACTCTACACTCGACTGTACGTAACCCTAACCCTAACCCAATCCTTAACAAAAGCATATGGGTAAATCCTTGACCATTGTTAATGGTCTGGCCCGGCGCGCGCTACTTCGTAGCACTTGCTATCGGGCCTCCGCCTAACGAGAAATTACACTAACAGTAACTTCCTTGCACGGTCATATCACGTGATCGAGACAGTTTTTAGCCAATATCTCGTCATGGGGGTGATTCGGAATCAGCGTCCGAAAATACATTGATTGAAGTTGGTTTCAACTGTCGGGGCCCTTTTAGAACAATCTCGAAGATCGACTGTAGAGTGATTTAGCACGCTCGAAAATGGTCAGAATCATCAAATTAAGTGGGATAGGGCATGGTTTTAATTTTAAAAGTCTACACTTATTACAACTACAAGATATCCCAGAAGCTGAGATATGTTGTAATAAGTGTGTCAATCGCTTCTTGTGAGAGCGTAAAAATGGGGTAAGAAAAGATAACTGAACAAACGTGCACGTGCTGCGTGCATACAGCATACCCGTGAGAAATGATAACCATTTTACAAATTGAGTAAGAACAAAGATTGGGTAACAGCCAATCGCTAATCAGCTAGGCTGAGGGCCGGAGGAGCTGAAAAGACACAATTTAATTAATTCTTATGAGAATTGCTGCTCAACAAAAAATTGATTACTTGATTTGATCCTTGTCCAGATTCCCTGAGAAAGGATGTGATATAATATTATTATTAATTTTTACTGCCAGGAAGTTCGTAAAACTAATTTCAGTTCCTTATTCTTTCCGCGCGAGATAAGTTGATTATCATTAACCATTTGACAAATTGAGTAGGAATAAAGATTACTTGAGACTGAGAGACAGCCAGTCTGCTTGCCTGACAAGTGTCGCACGCCGCCGCGTGAGCCTTGGGCGCTCAGGCGCTGTGCAGTATTAAACTGCCAGTCACTTTTGGAAATAAATGTTGCTATTTGTTTGTTTGCTTGTTTGTTTGTTTATAGAAGTAGAACCCGTCCCCAATCTCGTATCGGAAAATGACTAAACTTAGTTCTGAGTGTGAATACGGGTGGTACCTGCAGGCTGCAAGTGTATTCATTAAGCATCTAGAGTTCTGTAAAACTGCAGTTACAATTGTGTTACAATTGTGCTAGAGTATTTTTAGTATTTACGATCGATATCAGATCTCTATCCATACATGCTTCCAAATTTAAATATCCAACTTTTTGCACAATGTACTGGAATGTTTGACAGAAAGAGAACGAAAAAGTGATAAAGAAATTTTATTAAAACCTATAATCATGGGTCAGGGTAAAGTGTCTCTCTTTTTCAAACAAAAGGAAATGATATTAATTTGAATAACCGTCTGCAAATGCAAAATGGTACCGAGAATGAAATCGGTCGCTCATACTTTTATACGACAACGTTATTCGCGTTTTAAAATATAATAGGCGGGTGTGTTGCAGAGTTAACAAGGGTTAATTTCTAAAACGATTTAAATAAAAATGGAAGGCAGTTCAAGCCGGGAGTGATTTGTATCACGTCGTAACCCCCACGGTCGTTCTTACGTGATACAGGGGGAGCCGCGCACTCGTGCGCGGCGGGTCATACAACGTATGACAAGGACTAAGAGTGATGAGGTGTAATAGTCGTGGTACAGGGTGTACGAACCTTATGATCATGGAATGTGGTGCATAATAATGACTTGGTAATTATCCACGAGAAAGAACTGATTATGCGATTATGTTAAATACTATTGGATACGTGAGGGCACTCAACGCATAAACATTATAAATCGAGAGGCTTGCATATAATGAACATATTGACATGGGTGCAGAGTTGAGCCTGTACGGAACCTAGTAGTTTCAGTTCCTTGTTTAACTTATACCTAATGCGGGTTTTGACTCAGTGGGTAAATACTCCAACCTTTAATTGCGGGAGTGAAAGGCCGGGTTACACTAGTATATAATATATATACATATCACCGGAGACTCGCGGGCGGAACAAAATATTGCACGCGCACGCGCGTGCAATATTTCATATGTCCCCGAGGGCGCTAGCCCGAGGAGGACATATTTTCGTATAGCACGGAGGGCCCATCGGGCCCGAGTGCTATACGATTTTTCCGCCCGCGGGTCGAGGTGATGTGGATTATATCCACCAGCGGGCGTTTTACAGTTAATATATAATCTTATAAATAAACAATGGAGCTTGTATAAAAGTCAACTCTAGAAAAGGTCGCCACTAATTGTTGTAACCATGGTAACACGTCACTTGTTCAATGTAAGCCAATCATAAAGGGCTGTGTCGTATATAGTGGCTGGAGATAAGAGATCCATACTGGCACTGCATTCCTGGGCCGTGCGAATAATGAATGTAATGTCAGTGACGATGAATATCAATAATAGAGGGATTATTATAGTGCTGATGTGTATTATGTAGTGTGTTATAATAACTTTGATATAAATCAATGTATCATGTCATCTGCTCACGAGCTGCATGAGCAGCCCTACCGGACACAAAAATAAAATATATATATCTCCGTGCTATGAAAATATTTTAGAGAACTCCGGGCTATATTGCTACTGGTCAAATTAAATGTAACTTGTTAGCGGGCTATATCATTTGCGGGCTGTAGAGATATCGGGCCCTTTGACAGCGGGCTGGTGAGAGCCCGCTATGCGAAAAAGCGCACGCTGGTGGATATATACTACCGCCTATTATATTTGAAAACACGCATAACGCCATAACATTGTCGTATGTTAAAGTATGAACTCTCTCTGCAGGCCAAACAGACCGCAATGATATGAGTGCAATCCCCCTTAAAGTTAACAAGCTTATAGTATTATTTATTCCAGAAAACCCACTTCCCGATACTCATGGAACTTGAATTTTTTTTGCAGTCAATTTGTTCAAGATCTAGACGCCCTGCAAATTTTCAGAACTCTAACTCAATTTTAACATGGTTTTTAAGGCACCTGAATATGGCGATTTTGGGTTTTTTAACCAAATTTCGTATAACAGTGCTGGCGCGTATTTTGTGCAAATTTCTTAAAAACCTCCACATAACTATTTCTTATTCCTGTCATCTTTGAGATCGAATTAGGATGTTTTGAACTAAAAATAAACCTGCTGAACGACTTCCTATGAGCTTTAATGCATGAAAAAACAATAAAGGGGGTATAATAGTATAGAATGTATAAAAGGCACGGTCATGCTTGCCAGTACTGTGATAAAATCAACGATTTAATTTTAGGAAGGTAATATTAATTCCTTGGTTTCTTTAAGTCAGCTTTAAAGTCGGAGAATCAAAGTATGTAACATCGATACCAAACCGATTATTGAGCGATGATAGCTATAAGTACTAAGTAGTTGATTCCTGGGTTGCAGTGTTGTAAGCGTACTTTTGTGCTTCTATTTTCAAGTGGGTCTTTATTTTCAAGTGGGTCTTTATTTTACTTTGAATTTTGGTTTGACAAAGTATACAGTTGGATAGAAGTTTACAAAATATAATATCAAAGTACTCTCAATCGAGATTGATCCAAA